CTTTCTCAGAAGTCTGAGATCGGGGTGCCAGTGTGGTCAGGGCCTGCTGATGGCCACCTTTTTTTAGGTGTCCTCACGTGAGAGACACAGGCTGACTCCCGTGAGCGGGCACTAATCCCACCTTTATGACCTCATCTGACCCCAATCACCTCCCGAATGCCCTGTCTCTGATACTAGCACACTGGGGGTTAGAACCTCAACATGTGGGGTTTTTTTTTTTTTTTTTTTTTTTTTTTTGGGTGGGGGGGACATAATACAGTCCATGGCAGGAACTGTACAGGTGAAATTTTGAGTCAAGGGGATGAATCAGAAGCTAAGCCTCTGTCCACAGTGTCCTGGAAAGTCACTGTGTCCTAGGGACACCAGGGACAATGTCACCTACACTCAGTCCTTGCCAGTCACTCCAGGCAGTCTTTAGGTTAACAGCAGTAAGAGCAAGGCTAGGCCGTGTGGATCTCACTCAGAAATTTAAGACCAGGCTGGTCCCTACTTGAGACCCTAAGGAATTTCAGACCAGGCGGCTAATGGCTTCTCTTGCTCGTCTGGAAGGCGTGGAGGGAGGCAGACACGTTGGAATATTTTGCAGGAAACGGAAGATTTAAGACACCTAAGATAGAGGCCAGCAGGTGGCATAGCAGTTACATCATTGAACTCCTGTATGGCAAGCCACGGCTTGAGTCCTGGACCCGGTGACTTGACACTCACATTGGGCGTGTGCACACGTGTGCCTAAGATCCTGGGAGGAGAATGGAGAAGGGATTGCAGTGTGGCCATCCTCCAGAGGGGTGATTTCTTGCTTTCCCTCTCACTATCTCTGTCTCTCTCTCTGGTGAGTGCATGTGCCCTAAAGCAGAAACCTCTAAAAAAAAAGATACTTAAGGTAGATGAGGAGGTCTTGTGGATGGGGATGCGTTGTGATCGGGGAAGCCTTCCTACAGGCTGGGGTTCAGGCTAGGCTGTAGGGGATGTGGGTGTGTGTGGGCGTCTTGTGTTGGAGCTGTGTGGTGACCTGGTCATAGCATCTGCCTGTGAAGATGAGAAGACCTGGGAGGCAGATTTGTAAGACCATGCGGTAGAGACTGCTGGAAGTTTCCATAATCCCCAGTGGTTCCTTTCCAAGCAGCAGGGGCCACACGGGTGTTCAGGGGACGGTCTCAGCCAGGTCAGGGGTCGAACCTCCTTCGAGGTGAGGAAGAGGTTGTGTGTAGTCCTGCCAGGTGAGGAAAGCAGGTCAGGCTAGGAATCTGTTTCTACCGCTCGAGGCCCCCACCTGCTGATACCTCCCTCCCCCACACTGCCCTGGCCTCGAGAAGCAAGAAGTCAACTCAGATGTCTTTAAACAAATGTTTGGTGAACTCCTCCAACCCTCAAGGAGAAAGATGGCTTCCCAAACAATTAGGTATTTATTTTCTCTTCTCATTTGTGGTGGCAGGCTGATTTGTGGGTTTGGACTACTGCTCCTTTCCTGAAACTCAACTCGGTGTAGCAACAAGTGTCTTTTTTTTTTTTTTTAAGGCAGCAAATTATTTGCTGGGCTGGCTTTGTGGCTGATGCTCTCAGCAGAGGTTTTGGGTCGAGGCTGTCTTGAACCGGCAGAGGGACAAGGAAGCAGACTGTGTTTGTTTAGAATGCTTTCCTGCTTGTGGTCACTGCTTGAGAAGCCGTGTGGTTCTTGCCAGGAGAGGTGTAGCTTAGTTGCGTGTCATCAGATTCTGGCTGAATCGGAGATCCATGCTATGTAGATCGGGCGAGCCCGGTCCAGGTCTGAATAGACACAATCAGTCTGTCCTTCCTCGCAGGCAGCTTAGTTTCATGAAAGCCCAGGGTGTTTCCCCCTAGGTAGTAAGTCAACATGCAGTCATGAAAAAAGCAGAGAACGGGCCACGCAGTAGCAAGTTCTGGACTGGTGGGGGGACATCCGTATGTCACGGTTGGACGGTCAAACCAGATACACCTTGGAGCAGTCTTTAATGCCCATCAGCCCCATGGTGTCAGTGCCGGTGCCGGTCAGAGTCCATCCTGTTTAAGTGGACTCTCAGAAGCTGGTGCTCTCAGAAGCTGGTCTAGAAAGCCAATTGTGAGATCTCCAAGGTGGCAGACGCTTGGGTCTGTGTTTTTTTGTCTGTAAAGGCTATTTGCTGACTCTGTGCTTTTGCACCGATCAGCGATGATCGAGCTCCTTGGTGAACCACATCCCATCTCGTCCTCAATCTTCTTCTCCACAGAGCTCATGGGACGACTCCCCATGGGTGGTAAAATTGCAGCGTCCCTGGCTAGGCCTCCAGCTGTGGTGTCGTAAAGACCCCGGAGAAGGACCACGAGGCCAAGACTCAGAGGGCCATCTCCGCTTACTTTAGGGTGATTTGTAGGTGGTGCCTAAGGAGCCCAGAGTAACTCGAAGTGCCGCCTTTGGTCCATGTTACTGATGGCTGTCCAGATGTTTGCAGGGATCCAGGGACCTGCTGTTTAAAGGAAGCAGAACTGTGCTTTCGGTCACTGGAGTGGGCCGTTTCGGACTGGGCGTTGCTCCCTTCCAGCTTTCTCTCCTAAGGGGACCATGTCGTAGAGTTAATAACACGTGCCGACTACATGGCTGTTATGTCATTTAATCCTCACGGTAACCTTGCCAAGCAGGTGTTCTTGTCCCCACTTTGTGACTGAGGAAACTGAGGCCCACAGAGGCTCTGAGACTTACGCAGACGCCCTGACAGGGTGGTTTTGTGCCGAGAGCGTCCAGTGCTGGTCAGCATGGGGAGCGGGGGCCTCCTCCTGGCCTTTCAGACCCAGGGGCCCTGGCCTGGGCTCGTTAGCATAGAGCTGGCCGAACACTACGCGGCTTTCCCTGGACAGGTCACCCCTCGTCTCCGCCTCAGTAACTTGACCTGTGAACCGGGACTCCCACCACATCCCTGCGGGGCGACTGCGAGGACTAAGTAAGACAGACAGGTCGGCCGCTGTCCGAGCTGGTTCTGCTCTCGAGTTGAACTCCAGGCCTTTGTTGAACTCGGGTAGGCTCTCCTTTGGCTCTTAGGGTCTTAGGTTTTTCTCCAAGAAGCCAAAGGTAGAATGCTATGACTAACAGGAAGCTGCGCCTCAAAACGCAGCAGGCAAGCCTGCCAGTGTGCTGGCTTACACTTCTCTGAGAGGGTGACGGAGCAGGGCTCAGCTTCTTGGGTACTGGCTTCTAGGTTCACTGGGGTGATGCAGCTGTGGTCTGCAGCTACATGGGCACCGTGAGGTTTAAAGAGCCCTGTTTTAGCTGGAAAGTCCCTCAGGTTCTGCCTGGATTTGACTGCACCTGGAGGGTGTGACATCCGACATCTACTGTGTGCTGCTTAAATGGGCAGATGTGAACAAAGTGAAAGTGTCTTGGCCATCACCTACCCTCCCCACCCCAGGCTGTTTATTTCTAGAAGGGAGATAATGGGGAGTGGCCTCTAACTTAGTTCTAGCAGGACCACCTGCTATGGAGTGGGGACTAGGACCCAGCAGGAGACTGGATCAGGGAGGTAGCAGTGAAGGTTGTTCATTTCTGAACATCTAAGGGTCATTGCAGAAGCATTCACGTAGGGATGGGATGAAGGAACCTCCAAGGTCAGCCTGAACTAATGGAGAAGGGAATGCGTGTTTCCTACAACGGGATCACGTGGAACAGGGGCATGTGGGGGTGGAGGGGGGAGGCGAGTGGGAGGAGCAAGGAGATGCAGTGAGGATGGGGTGACCCGGTTTGGCCATGTCAAGTCTGAGATGCCCAGTGGGCTGTTAGAGATCTACATCTGGGGATCGGGGTGCTCCTCTAGGCCCTGAATGAAGTATCTGACAACACCTTCTGCTCCTGGATTTGGGATAAGCCAATTTGGAGCTAGAGAACATAGCAAGGGGGTGACCTTAGGGCCACGTGCACCTAGAATTTTGGAGAGTGGCCTTTTGACTTCAGATGGCCTGAAACACTGGTCTGAACTAGCTCTCTGCAGCTTCGCAGGAGGAATGATGAGGCTTGTCTGGTCCCAGGGACCCAGCAGCTCGGCACCAACTCCTGCATTTGGGATTTGGGCCTGTTGGAAAGAGCTCATGGCTAAAGGTTTTCTCCCTCAAAGATGAGGCTGCAGGAGCTCCCGGCTGTCCTTCACCGAGCCTCCTAGTTCCCGGATGATGCTAATACTCAGTGCCGCGTCACTCCCCGGAAGAAATCGAGCCCAGAAAGCATTTCCAAATCACGCATGCAAAATAGACTGTGGCCTTAGAATTTAGCTATTCAAGGGGGACGACAGAGACGAGTGTGTTGAAAGCTCTTGGTACAGATGTATAGAGGAGTTTACTATTATCTCAAATTGAAGGGAAAAAACAATAGCACGGCTTATCAAATAGACGACTCGGGTCTCAGGTGCCTTCACTACTGTGACTGGACCGAGACTGTAAAAATAGTAACTTTTGTTCCATTGCCGACGAGAAAATAGAGCAGAGGAGGAAATTGTGCAGACGCCTGAATTTACACGATCACTGATGTCCGTGGAGGTGACATCATATTTGGGGAGGAAACCAGGGCCAGTTTAGCATACACAGAGGGCTGTGGGAGAGAGCCTGCCAGAGCTCCCTAGCGGAATTCCAGCAGAAGCCCGCTTTCCTCTAGCTGGCTCGATCTGAAACCCCGTGGCGTGTTCCCAGCAGAACCTTCTTTCTAGCTTAAAAAGACAGAACCCCACTCCCCCAGTAATCCTGCTGGTGTGCTTTGAGCTCAGAGACCCCCACTTCTCTGCACACAGCCCTGCCGCTCAGCGGTCATTACACTCCTTGGGTTAACTCCAGCACAGACGCTCAGATAATACAGAATCGGGACTTCAAGTACAGCCAAACGGTGACATTCCCTCCTGGGTTCTGAGTGGTTCAAAGTAAAGAGACGCCCCCCAAAGTGGATGATAATGGCATGAGTTGGAAGCGTAATAGAGATCGAAGGTGATTTTTTTTTTCTTCTCAAAAATGGTTTTGCAAATCTTTTTCAGAGCTGATAGACACACACCTTAGCTGGATACAAAACATATTATGAAACAGAATGACTGTGATCTTTGATCCAAGAAATCAAAGTGAAAGGTAATTGATTATCTTCTGCTTCTCCTTGTTTTCCAGCTGTGTGTTTCCTTAACTTGAATTTTGTCTTTTTTTTAGTAAAAGAAAACCTCACAACCCGAAGGGCCCCCCCTTCTCATTTTCCAGTCACCCCCAGAGGTACCTTTTGCTGCTCTGCAGGGCCACATGCCGTCCTGGGGACATCCCCGGTCTGCTCATTCTGTGAGGCTGGCGCTCAGGTTGGGGTGGGGAGGAAAGGGGAGGAGGCCCTGGGAATTGCGGGCTCACCCAGACGCCCTCTCGCCCTGCTCTGGGCTGCCCTGCATGGCAATGCAGCAGTGTCCTGCCCCTTGAGCCTACTCCTCTTTGGTCTTGTACAGGAGGCTCCCTACCCAGGGCGAGGCCAGAAAACCCAGGGACCTCTGCGGAAAGTGCCCTGGGCTTTGGCGATTTGCCATCTCCATCCCCTCAGCTCAGAGTTTCGATCCTCCCAGGGGCTTTCTTGTCATGAGCTTTCTGCAGCGTCATCTGCAGTTCAGTTTCTGGGTCTGAAGTCAGCCTCTGGAGCTAGGACTACAGCCTGGTTTCCCCATGTGCCCAGCTGAGACCCTCACTGAGCCCCACCCAGTAGACTTTATCAGGGCCGGCTTTGGCTCCTGGGCCTCCGAGGAGAGTCTTGTGGCAAGGTGTAAAGCTTGCGTGGGACCTGGAGAGTGAGCTCCGCCCTCTGCCTCAGCTTCTTCCATGCTGCTGTCACTTAATCCTCCCCACGGTCCAGTGGCACAAGCAAGCACTTGCAGTGCCGGCTCATAGCAGCTACGGGGTGAGCGCTAAGGTTACTGGGCTGCGTGGCTCCTGCTCAGTCTCCCCAACTGGGAATGACTTTGGACAGCCCCATTTGGGCGACCATGAGTTCATTACTCACAGCCCTGGTCCAGAAGTCCTTGCAGCCTTGCACTGGCCCAGTATGAAACTCTAGCAAAAGTAGCTGTCAGATGCCAGGCCCACCGGCACACACAGGTGCCAACAGCTCTGCCAGGCCTGCTGGGACAGCCCACTGCTTCTTAGTATCAGAATGAACCTTTGCTCTAGCACCTTCTCCAACAGCCATGGGCCAACTAGTCGAGAGGCAATCGTAAGAACCCAGCTGAGAGGGAGAATGTGGTGGGTGCTGCTGCTTGGCCAGCCAAGGCCACATGGGAGGCCCAGGTTCGATTCCCAGCCCGCCTTATAAAGCTGGGTACAGTGGTGCATGCCTATGGCTTTAGCCCTTTTGGAGGGTGGGATGGGGGGGTAGAGAACGAAAC